TTGCTATCTCTTCTGGGTCTCTGTGGATTTATGTGTTGATCTCTGAGCTAGTCTTAAACAAGTTCTTGTATTTTTCTCACATGTAATCTATCTTTTTATCTATTGGTTTTTGAGCCATACCTGGACATGTGGCAGTTTTTAGGGCTTACTCCTTGTTCTGCATGGAGGGATCACTCTTGGTGGGGCTCGAGGGACCATATGGAGTTCTGGGGAAGCTGCATGCAAAGCAAATGCTCACCAGCTGTACTATTGCTCCAGCCCTTGATCTATTTCTTTAACACTGGATTTTTTTATGAGAGGTTTAAATTAACTTTAGTTATAACCTTTTAAATTATTATTATTTCATTGATATTGATACTTTTTTGTTTTAGGGGATAAAACCCAGGGTTTCATACCTGCAAAATGTTTGCTCTGCCACCGAGATACCTCCTTGCCCCCTAGTTGGTTATTATTATTATTTGTTGTTATTATTATTATTAGTTTTTGGGCCACATCTAGTGGTGCTCAGGACTTATTCCTGGCTCTGTGCTCAGGAATTACTCCTGGCAGAGCTCAGGAGACCATATGCGGTGCTGGGGATCAATCCTAAATTGGTTGCATGCAAGGCAAACATCCTATCTGTTGTATTATCTCTCCAGCTCCTCTAGTTTATTATTTCTGATATTTTATTTTTTGGGGGAACACATCTTGGGGATGACTTCTGGTTCTGTGCTTGGAAATGCTCCTGGTGGTGCTCAGGGGATTACAGGAGGCCAGGGTTTGATGCCAGGGATCAAACCCTGGCCTCCTGCATACAAACCCTGTCCTCAATTAATTGAGCTATCTCTTGGGTCTGATATCATGTTTTTAAATGTTCTTTTGAAAATTCTGTCTATTCCTTGTCACTAGCCTCCCATTGTTGGCTCATGGATGTAATATTTTCTTTTGTCCCTCTAAGCTATTTTTTTTCTTTTTGGGTCACACCTGGCGATGCTCAGGGGTTACTCCTGGCTCATGCACTCAGAAATTGCTCCTGTCAGTGCTCAGGGGACCATATGGGATGCTGGGAATCAAACCCGTGTCGACCATGTTGGCTGCGTGCAAGGCAAACGCCCTACCTGCTGTGCTATCGCTCCAGCCCCATGTCCCTCTAAGCCATTAAGATAATTTTGCATAGACTTTTTTTGAAGTTTTTTTTTAATTACATAATTTATAAGTTTTTTTTTTTTTTGCTTTTGGGGTCACACCTGGCGATGCACAGGGGTCACTCCTGGCTTATGCACTCAGAAATCACTTCTGGTGGTGCTCAGGGGACCATATGGGATGCTGGGAATTGAACCCGGGTAGGCCGTGTGCAAGGCAAACGCCCTACCCACTGGGGCTGGAGTGATAGCACAGCAGTAGGGCATTTGCCTTGCACGCAGCCAATATGGCCGACCCGAGTTCGATTCCTCTGCCCATCTCGGAGAGCCCAGCAAGCTACTGAGAATATCTCGCCCGCACTGCAGAGCCTGGCAAGCTACCCGTGACGTATTGGATATGCCAAACACAGTAACAACAAGTCTCACGATGGAGGCGTTACTGGGCCTGCTTGAGCAAATCGATGAACAACGGGAGGACCGTGACTTTTTTTTTTTTTTTTTTGCATAGACTTTCTTTTCAAGGTATTGTTTCCCCCTTTGTTTTTCTCTCTTTCATGTAAGAGGTTATTTTCAGGATAACTGGAAATCTCTGAAGTCTAATTAATAGTGATGAGCTGAAAAGCTGCTTGGAAGCTTTTAGTGTGTGAATGAGGTTTTTAAATATTGAACTTTACTATAGGCTGGCCTAGACAAGTTGTTCATTAGAGACTATCTAAAGTCAATCTAATGAATTCTTCCTGCTTTTGTGAGATATCAGGGAGAACAATTTTTCACTGGAGGGAAGCAGTCTGTCCTCTAGTTTCTGAGAACTAAATAGAGAAGAGGACTTTCTGTAATCTATATAGCACATTAACAACATAATTATTATTTTTTTCTTTTTTTAATGTAGGAGTACTGCTATTTATTCAGCCACTGATTAGCTGATTGAATTGTGCATGAGCTCCACCTTACTTTTTTTCATTTTTTATAATTTTATTTATTGAATCACCGTGAGAGCAGTTACAAAGCTTTCGGGTCTAAGTCTTGGTCATACAATGAAACACCCGTACCTTCACCAGTGCCCATTCTCCACCACCAAAAACCCCAGTATACCCCCATCCCACGCCCTCCCCCTACCTGTGGGGCAGATTATTTCCACATTACTCTCTCTCTACTTTGATCACATTCAATATTTTGTCACCAGACCCACCATTATTATTTGAGATTTTAGCCCAACACTTAGATCTGCTGAAAAGGCAACAGTAGACAATTTGTGTTCTATTGCTGGTTATGAATAACATATGATGTCCCGTGGCTGCAGTAGAGCCAGTGATTTTGAAATTCCAAATTTTAACACTAAATCTGGAGGGATTTCTGCCAAAAGCCACTGGGTTTCGAGATTTGCTCCTGAGTCTCTGGGATCATGGCCCTTGAGCAGCTTGATCAGGAGCCAGAGAGGCCAATCGTGGGCAATGACTTGGGGTCTTGTTGGGACGGGGAGACCAGGACTGGCCTCACCCCCATCCTGTGAGGCCCAACAAGTTTCATCACTGCGGGCCCAGACCTGACTGTCCAGTGGCCTCTGGAGGATGACGGCCACCAAGCCTCCAATGGGGAGCAGGTGGAGGGACAACACCCTTTCCTCCCTGGGGTGGCCCAGCGACAGTAACCTACTGTGGGGTCCGGCCGCATTTCTGCCAAAAGCCGCTGGGTTTCAAGATTTGTTTCTGAGTCTCTGGGATCATGGTCATTAAGCAGCTTGATCAGAAGCCAGAGAGGTTGTTCGTGGGCGATGACTTGGGGTCTCATTGGGGTGGGGAGTACAGGCCCGGCTCCACCCCCATCCCGTAAGGCTCAACCAATTTCGCTACTGCGGGCCCAAGCCTGACTGCCCAATGGCCTCTGGAGGATGATGGCCACCGAGCCGCCAGGGGGAAGCAGGTGGAGGGATAGCACCCTTTCCCCCCTGGGGTGGCCCAGCAACAGTAACCTACTGCGGGGTCTGGCTGCATTTCTGCCAAAAGCTGCTGAATTTCGAGATTTGTTTCTGAGTATCTGGGATCATGGCCATTAAGCAGCTTGATTAGGAGCCAGAGAGGCCGTTCATGGGCGATGACGTGGGGTCTCGTTGGGGTGGAGAGGACGGGTCCGGCTCCCCCCACATCCCGTGAGGCCCTGCGTGTCTTGTCACTGGAGGCCCAAACCTGACTGTCCAGTGGCTTCTGAAGGATGGCGGCCACCGGGCCGCCCAGGGGAACAGGCCAAGGCGTGAAATCTATTCCCACCTTGAGTGGCCCATCACCGGTAACCTACTGCAGGGACCGGACGCATTTCTGCCAAAAGCCGCTGGGTTTCGAGATTTGTTTCTGAGTCTCTGGGATCATGGCCATTAAGCAGTTCAATCAGGAACAAGAGAGGCCATGCCTCTAATTATAAAGCTGAGCCGGAGGTGGTTTGTGGGTGTGTTTCCCACATACTTAACTTTTGGCCGTTTACTTTCTTGGTAAACTTTGCTCCAAGTTTTTGGGGTCTGGCCAAAGGCAAAGCAGCAATTTTGGGGTATCTGGAAGTCTGAAGGTGCCATGAGGCTGCTGATGCACTCGCCTCACAGGTACAGACTGACCTGCTGGCGGCACCATACCTCCTCAACATAATTACTTTTTAAATCATGCAGCGACACTTTCGTTGGGTCCAAATGCCTGTATTTGATCTTTTTCAGAGGTAAAACCTCCACTCTGCCATATTTTTTGGTCCTTCACCTGCCCTCAAGCATCGCGGAGCATTTGGAAACCTCTTGATGCAGAGTTAGCTCTAAACTTTCCCCTCTGCTGGCTTCAGATTTGACTTTTTTGTGTCTGCTAACATAGTCTCTGTTTCCCCTGCTCTCCAGATTCCAGGGGACTTTATTTGCCACCCAGCAACCTTTTACCTACGTCAGCTACCATCAGTTCTTGTTTGGTCCGAGATTCTACAAAGGCAGAGGAAGACTTTTCCTTGGCCACAGAACTCAGTTAATGGGCCGCTTCATTGATAGACTCATGTCAGCACGTGGCTCCTCATGCAGAGAGGAGGAGAGGTGGTAGGCAGGGCCTGTGGTGGGAACACAGCTGGGTTCCCTGAGGAGGAGGCTTTGATGAACAAATGATGTGAGGTGAATGGGTAAAGAGGGGAGCACTGAGCAGGCCCCTTGCTAGGATGGTGCCAATTTCCTCCACTCTGCTTAGGCCTTCCTCTCAGGCAGCCCCAATGGACTCAGACACTGAGGCACATTTCCCCAAGGCTGTGGTCCTAGTTTGAGGGTATGAGCTGCAGGCCTACCTGTTGATTTTTAGGGAGCATGACCTGTCCCTTCTCACAGCTTGATCTCCTAGACTTTCTTGGTCTCCTAGAATTTCTTTTGTCCAATGAGGCCATTTCTGGAGACAAGGCAGAGAGGTTATTGGGGTTACAGCACCTGTTCTTCAGTATTTCATTTCTGATTTTTTCCATTATAATTATTATTATTTACACTTTTATTTAAATTTACATTTTAGGCACTGTGATTTTCAAAGTTTTTGACAGTAAAATTTCAGTAATACAATGTTACAATTCCAATCCCAACACCAGTGTCAGCGTTCCTCCTGTTTTCCCCTCTAACTCTTCCATGCATGAAATATAATACACATATATGTGGTCTAGCTGTTCTTGCCTGATATTTATACCTGTGATGTGTAAAGAATAAGATTTTGCACTCCTACCCTCCAATCTTGGGAGTGACGTTGCTCCCATGCTGACCCAGCACCTACCCTGGCTTGGGGCTTCTGAGGACAGATCCAGGCAGCTGGGTGGGGCCTCCATTTCTGAAGGGGTGCCTGGCTCCGACATGCCCTTACACTAAGCTTCCTGTCCTTCCACCTTCAGCTTTGTGCAGTCACTGTTTATGCTGGGAACTGTGGTACTGTACTTCAGCCGCTGCAAGGAGTATGTGGCCTCCATGGTGTTCTCCCTGGCCATGGGCTGGACCAACATGCTCTACTACACCCGTGGCTTCCAGCAGATGGGCATCTATGCTGTCATGATTGAGAAGGTGGGTTCCATGTGGATTCCAGTCTGTTGACTTATGTCTGCATGGGGTCAGGGTCGCATAACTTCTGTCCATCCTCAGAATTGTCTGGATAGGTGCAGACTTCATTCATCACCCACTTTCCCAGTGAATCTCCCATGAATAGGACAACCTGGCCTTGAGCCAGGCTTGAGGGCTCACCTGAAACTTGACTCCCTGTCTACATACAGGCCCTTCTCACCCATCAGAACAAAGGCTGGGTGGGGAACTGAACAGTTACTCCCACAGGACATTGAGAGCCAAGGAGCCAAGACCCTGTGCATGCTCTCTGATTCTACTTGGGCTCTAGAGGGACTGCTAAGGTCAGCAATGCTGGATTGCCTTATGGCCCTCCTGGGCCTAGCCTTGGTTCTCATAGGCCTGCTCTCCCTTGCAGATGATCCTGAGAGACCTGTGTCGCTTCATGTTTGTCTACCTCGTATTCTTGTTCGGGTTTTCCACAGGTAATGAACTTTTGGGACTGGTGGAAGGCTGACTTTCTGTTAACTTCAGCTTCCAGAGGTCTCTGCAGGGATTGGGGGTGGGGTGGGGGTCGTCTGAGGTGAAAGAGAAGATGGACAAGGGACACACTGGAGAGAGTAAGGGAACCTGGAAATGTGACTCAGAAAATGTTGGAGTAATTTTTGAGGGACAAAGTACACTTTGCTTGTAGGATAGTGACATTTTAGGCCATTTATTTAAATTTATAATTTACTTATTTATTCTGTTTTTGGGCCATGCCCAGATGTGCTCAGGGTTTTCTCCTGGCAATGTGCTTAAGGATCATTCCTGGTGGGGCTTGGGGGACCAAATGGGATTCTGAGATGGAACCTGGACCAGCCGTGTACAAGGCAAGCTCCTTAGGCATTTACCTTTCTCTCTGGTCCCTGGATCATTTATTTTTAACTTTGAATTTGGACATAATTTCAGACTTTCATAAAGGTTTCAGGAATAGTCTAGGTAACTCCTCTATAGTCACACTCCCTAATTTTTACATTTAAATGAAATTAGGCCTTCCTTTCTGACTTTTGTTGTTGTTATGATTGGGGCTTGCACACACTAGTTTGTGGGCATGCCAGGGGATGCCCATGTAGTTGTGGCAACTGCATGTGTGCTCATGACTCTTGAGTTGTGACGTTTCTCACAGACACATTGCTAGTTCAGGTTGTACACTCGGTTGTGGTATTTGCATGCTTTAGTTGTGCTGCTTGCCAGACTTCTCATACTTCAGCAAACCTTTGGCTGCAGGGTACTGGGGATTACACCAATACTTGGTTATGGTTCTTGGAATCCCAAATGGCAGAGCTGCTAGGATCATGCTGGGTGCATGTGAGGTGGGGCTGGGTATTGAAGTCTTGGTCTTCTGTTTGTAGGCAGGTATTCTCCTTCTGAGCTATCCCTGGACCCTAATTATGTATGTATTGTTATCCCATCCCCAGCAGTGCTTAAAAGGTACTTCTGGGTTGGTGGCACTTAGCAATGCTGGGGGTGTCCTGCAGGGCAGTGGATTAAGCCAGGTCTCCTGCATCTAAAGCATGTTCTCCAGTCTTTTGAGCTATTGCCCAGATCCCTAATTTTGTGTTTTAAAAACATGTTCCCTCAACATCACCCCCATATTTTAATTAAAAAATTATTAAAAATTAAATAAAAAATTTAAATTTCGATGTTATGGTTTGAAATAGTATTATTCATTTGTCTTAGGCCTTCAATATTACTGTACTACACTCACCACCAGAGTGCCAATACACATTTCCATTGTCCTGAGGGATCTTTTTGGCTGCCACCCTCACCCATCGTCTCCGCCCCTCCCCCCACTGCTTGGCAGTGAGTTCTGTTGGCAACAGTTTGGGGTTTGCTTTCATTGGCCATTGTCCATTCCCTTACTTGTTTCTTTATACTCCATGTGTGAGTGAGATCATCAGGTATTTGACTTCCTCCTTCTGATTCACCCCATTTAATATGACACTGTCTAGTTCCATACAAGTTGCAGTGAACTGAAAGAGTTCATCTTCTCTTTGAGCTGAACTCTATTCCATTCTGTTTATATGTACCATAGTTTCTTTATTCACTCATCTGTCACTGGGCGCTTGCCAACCCCATTCTTCAAAACAAATAAGCAACAGTTTGGGAGTAAGTTGCAAACACGATCAGCTCATTATTACTGTTTCCACACAGCTCTGGCACCTGGTCTGAAGGAAGGGGTTAGACCAAGAGGGTTATGCCATTTTCTGGATGTAAACTAGGAGGCACTAGGGAGAACTAGGGAGGCACAATTTCTATGGAAGCTTTTGGGCATCAGACCGCTTGTCCAAAGAAGGGTGTGGAATTTGGGGAGAGGCCCCTTTGCTCTGAGCTTCTCAGCAAGTGTGGCCCTTGTCCAGGACTGACAAGCAAGTTTAGGCACATCACGTACTATACCAAGCCTGCATTCACATTGCACATTTATATTCATTTTAATTTTTTAATGGTAAAGTTTATGTTGTACCAAAGTATCTTCTGATGATCCTGATAGTTTGATAAGGCAATGCCTCTTCAAATGTTGATGGGGGTATGTACCATCAGTGGCTCACATTGGAGGTGGCCTTTTTGTTTTGATTTTGAGCCACACCCTGGAAGTGCTCAGGACTTATTTGTGGCTCTGTGCTGAGGGCTCACTTCTAGCAGGCTTTGGGGCCATATGATCGCACCCGGGTCAGCTGTATGTTATCCATACTTTCTCTCCTGCCCCGTGGATCTGGCTCAATTAATACAAATGTTAGTAGTATTGGGCTCGAGAGATAGCACAGCGGTAGGGCGTTTGCCTTGCACGCAGCCAACTTGGCCGACCCGAGTTTGATTCCTCCGCCCCTCTTGGAGAGCCCGGCAAGCTACCGAGAGTATCTCGCCTGCACGGCAGAGCCTGGTAAGCTCCCCGTGACCTATTCGATATGCCAAACATAGTAACAACAAAGTCTCCAATGGAGACGTTACTGGGCCCGCTCGAGCAAATGGATGAACAACAGGAGGACCGTGACCGTGACCGTGACTGTTAGTAGTATTGTCAACATATTAAATAAAAATTTCTGCAAAGGCACCTCCTGGTTGAGCTTTCCTGCTAAGACCCATCTTGTGGGGTCAGGGGGAGTAGGTGGGAGGGTGTTTGGGAGAGGGTCTTGGATCCCCTGTGGCTCTCCTCCACCCCCTGCTCTGCAGCTGTGGTGACGCTGATTGAAGATGGGAAGAATACCTCAGTGGTGTCAGACTTCCCGTTGCCCAGGCGAGGATGCCGGCCCCCCGACAGCAACTACAACAGCCTGTACTTCACATGCCTGGAGCTTTTCAAGTTCACCATTGGCATGGGGGACCTGGAGTTCACCGAGAACTATAACTTCAAGGCTGTTTTCATCATCTTGCTGCTGGCTTACGTGATCCTCACTTACATTCTCCTGCTCAACATGCTCATTGCCCTCATGGGCGAAACTGTCAACAAGATTGCGCAGGAAAGCAAGAACATATGGAAGCTGCAGGTGGGTCAGTTGCTGGGGGCTGAGCGGCAGGAGGCTTGAGTTGCTCTGTTACTGCCTTACCCAGTTGGGTACGGGCAACCTGGAAGGATAGGGGGACGGGGCAGGAAGCACTATGAGCTTGGGGGGTTGGGCACCAGCCTCTCCTTTTGTTGACACTTTTCTGACCCTTCTGATGGGGTTTCACCATCAATTAATGTTCAGAGCCACTAATTTTGACTGGGGCTGGTCTGAGGCAGGAGGCAGAGAGCTCAACTCCAGGGAATGCCTACCTCAGAGAACTTTGATCTGGGATGGGACTCTTACCCTAGATTTAAGGGATCAGCTACTATGAGGCAGGCCCTGAGAGCTGCATTCAGCAACCAGCAGCGTAATGAAACCGCGGGATCAGCTCAGAGGTGCTAGGGGTGGAAGAGCTTGGAGAGGGGCATTCTGGCAGCCAGAGCCAGTCAGTGAAGGCACCCCCTGCCTTCCACAGAGAGCCATCACCATCCTGGACACGGAGAAGAGCTTCCTTAAGAGCATGAGGCGGGCCTTCCGCTCAGGCAAGCTGTTGCAGGTGGGATACACACCTGACGGCAAGGATGACTACCGGTGGTGCTTCAGGTAACCTCCATGAGGGAGTACAAGCTTGGGGAGCTCTGGGGTTCAACTCCAGGCCCAGGGACCTACCTCCGGCCAGCTGTGGGTTTCAGAATCCAGTGCAGAGCTAATTGTGAGCATTGGGAACACCCCGGAGCTGCTTGTGGGTACAGAGAACTCACTTCAGAGCTCTAGAGCCAGCTCTAAATTCAGGGGCAATGGCAGGGCTTAACATGGAACTGGAGACCTGCCTGGAGCCAGCTGTAGTGGCAGGCTTGATTGCAGACACAGGGGAACCACTAGGAATTGAGCTCTCCAGAATGATCTTCCAGTTCTCCAGGTCAGAACCAAAGATTCATATCGAAAGGCTTGGGGCACCACAGTCTGATTCAAGAACAGCCTGCAGGGGCCAGTACCCCCTAAGCAGGCCGCCCTCTGTCTCTTCCTTACCACTGTGGCCTTCGTCCTTATCTCCCCTTCAGTGGGGCCAAGCCCTGGACCTGGAAGCAGGCCATGGCACCTTTGTGGCCTGCTGCCTGCTCCCACTCTGCCTTGCCCTGCAGGGTGGACGAGGTGAACTGGACTACCTGGAACAACAATGTGGGCATCATCAATGAAGACCCAGGCAACTGTGAGGGCGTCAAGCGCACCCTGAGCTTCTCCCTACGCTCAGGCAGAGGTGAGTTGTGAGGGAAGGGGACCATGACATGGAGGTGACATGATGTTGGGCTAGTGAAGCCTTGGGGTCCCCGGCTTCTTGCAGACCTTTCTGTCCCCACAGCCTGGGTGCTGGAAGTGTCTCTCCCCCACCCACCCCCACAATCTCCTGCATGCTTGTATGTGCTCATAGCTGCTGCCTGCCAGTGTCCTGGTCCAGGCACCTGTCTGCAGTGCCCTAGAGGAGGCAACTCAGCCCACATTTGCCACCTGGGCAGCAGTCCTGTGTCTCTGTCCTATTCCTTACATCACGGACACAAATAGGGTCACATGACCCTCAGTTGTGTGGGCGCATGGACAGGCAGAGGAAGGATGGGTGAGAGAGTTACAGCAGAAAAGCCCCGTGAAAAACCACTACAGACAAGAGTTCGTTAACAGTTACTGGCAATTGGGGTCAGAGTGATCGTAAAACAGGTAGGGCGCTTGCCTTGCACAAAGCGCACCTGGGTTTGATCTCGGCAACCCATACGGTTCCCTGAGCCCACCAGGAGTGATTCCTGAGTGCAGAGCCAGGAGTAAGCCCTGAGCACACCAGGTGTGCCCACCCTTCCCCTACCCCCCACAATAAAAGGTTACTGGCAATCAATCAGCAGGAGTTATCAGATTAAAGGTCTACCTGACTACATTTACTTATAAAGGAAACAAACCTAGTGGATATTGACTGTGTCCTGAGCTGTAGTTATATTCCTGCACTGTCTTTGTTTTTGTTTCTTTTTAAAATGTGATAGAGTGAAGCCTGGTGCTAATCTCAAGAAGGGTGCTTGCCTTGCATGTTGTTGACCCGAGTTTGATTCCTGGCACCCTGCATGGGTCTCCTGAACCCATCAGGATTGATCCCTGAACACAGAGCTAGTAGTAAGTCCTGAGCATTGCCAAGTGTGGCCCCCAAACAAAAATAAAAACAAAAAATATGGTAGAGTGTACTGAACATAAAATTTGCTATTTTGACCATCTTTTAGGTTGTTATGGGCCCACACCTAGTAGTGTGGTGCTTTGGGCTACCAGGACCACACCTGGCAGCATAGGGATCAAACCTAGGATCTCATATCTGGGAGACATTTTTTAATTTTATTTTTTTTATTTTTCATTAGTGAAAAACCATGAGGTACAGTTGTAGACATAAATTTTTTGTGCTTGGGTTTCAGTTATGCAACGATTGAGTACCCATCCCTCCACCAGTGCCCATTGTCCACCACCAATGATTCCAGTATCCCTCCCACCACCCCCCTTCCACCACCCCTCCTATCCCCGCCATCCCGCCCCGCCTCTGTCGCAGGGAATTCCCTTTTGTTCTCTCTCTCCTTTTGAGCGTTGTGATTTGCAAAAGAGGTATTGGATGACAATCATGTTCGGTCTATAGTCTACTTTCAGCATGCATCTCCCATCCTGGGCAGATCCTCCCAACACCCTTTACTTGGTGTTCCCTTCTCTATCTGAGATACCTTTTCCTCTGGGAGACATTTGCTCTAGCACTCGAAACACCTTTCCAGACCCATTTGAACCACTTTTGAAATACAATCTGGTGGTGCTCCAGGCTAATACCAGGCAGTGCTCTGGATACCACGTAATGTCAGAGTTCACGCTTCCTGAACAGCCATTTATAGATGTATTTTGGAGAAATACCTCTTCAGATCATTTGTTCATTACATTTTTTGCTGTAATAGTTCTTTATATATTTTAGACTCTAATTCTATATCAGATATATGGTTTGTAAGTATATTCTTCTGTGAGTTGTTTTTTACTCTTTCCATAAAGTCCATTTGTACAAAACTTTTAAATTTTGATAAAGCCTGATATATCATTTCTTTACATTTTGTTGCCTGTTCTTTGGTGTCACATCCAATAAATAATAGCACTGTCCTCCCGTTTTTCATCGATTTGCTCTAGGGGGCCCAGTAACATCTCCATTGTGAGACTTGTTGTTACTGTGTTTGGCATATCTGTGGTTGCATAGTATTGCATTGTATATAACTGCCACATCCATGCATCGGTTTTTGTACATTTGGGTTGCTTCCATATCCTGGCTATTGAACTAAGAGCTGCAGTGAATATAGGTGTGCATAGAGCTTTTTGAATCAATGCTTTTGTGTTTTGGAAGTAGATATCTACATATGAGAGAAGTGGGTCAAATGGGAGCTCTTTACCTACTTTTTTGAGGAATCTCCAAAAAAGATTTTGAGGCTGGTCCAGGTTACATTCCCATCAGCAGTGAATGAGAGTTCCTTTTTTGGTCACATCCCCACAAACACTTGTTGTTTTCAGTTTTGTTTTGTTTTTGGACCACACCTGGCAGTACTCAGGGCTTACTCATGTACCTGTACTCAGAGAGTACTCCTGGAGGAACTTGGGGGACCATATGGGATGCTGGGGATTGAACCTGGGTTGGCCCCTAAAAGACAAACACCTTACCTGCTGGTACTATCACGCTGGCTTATTTATTTTTCCATGCAGAAATTTTTCAACTTCATATAGACCACTTGCTTATATTTGTTTTTGTTCCCTTTGCCAGTGAACTCAGGTCATAGAAAACACTTTTGGAGAGCTCTGCCTATGTTTTCCTCGATTTTATGATTGCTGGTATAACCTCCAGGTCTTTGATCTATTTTTAATTCATTTTTGTATGTGGTGTGAGATATGAATCCAATTTTATTTTTCTAACTAGTTGTACAGTTTTCCCAGCACCTTTTGTTCAAGAGGCTTTCCTTGTTTTATTTCATAGACCCAATTCTTTTGTCATAGATTAACTTTCCATGTACCTGAGGACATATCACTGTGATTTCATTTCTAATTCATTGGTCTGTCAGCCTATTCTTAGCCCAATACCATACTTTTTTGATTACTATTGCCTTATAATATAGTTTAAAGTCAGGAAACGCGATACACCCCAACTTCTTCATTTTTTTTTTCAGAATGGCTTTGGCTATTTGTAGGATTTTATGCTTCCATAAAAATTTTAATGTTCATTCTAGTTCCTTGAAGAATGTCGTTGGAATTTTTATGGGAATTGCATTGCATCCTTATAATGCTTTGAGTAGGATAGACATTTTGACAATATTGATTCTTCTAATCCATGAACATAGAATTTTTCCATTTCCTGGAATCCTCTGCTATTTCTTTCACAAGGAAGTTGAAGTTTTTATATTATTGGTTTTTCACACCCTTTGTAGATTCCCAGAAATTTGTTATTTTATCATTTTAAATGATATTGACTTTAAAATCTCTATCTCTTCTATTTAATTATGAGCATACATAAGTGAAACATATTTTTATTCATTATTTTTGTAGCCTGATACTTTGCTGTACTGTTTTATTTTTTTTAAAGAGTTCTATAGTGAAGTTTTTAGAGTCTTCTATACTTAATATTAGGTCATCTGCAAATAGTGCTTGTTTGACTTCTTCCTTTCCAGTTTGGATCCTTTTGATTTATGTTTACTTGCCTAACTGCTATGTTGAGAATTTCTAAGACTATATTGAACTATATTGACTAAATTGAACAAGAGTGGTGAAATTGTTTATCTGTGCCTGCTGCCTGATCTCATGGGGAAGACTGTTCGTTTTTTTGACCATTAAGTTTGCTTTTCCTTTTAGAGCTACACTTGCTATACCATTCCATTTAATATCATTACACAGGTTTTTGAGGTTTTGTTATTTTTTCCTCAGAGTTTTTCAAATTTGATAATTTCTACTCCTGATATCTCTTCATTTTACTGATCCTTTCTAAGTTCATCTCTAAACTGTTAGCAAGTGCACCAAGAGAATATTACATTTCAAAAATTGTGTTTGAAGAATTTTTAAAAACACTTAGAAATTATAAAAAAACCCAGATTTTATTTCCCTCCCATGATTCCTTAGTTGTTCCCTCATTCAAATCACTTTTGCCTTTGGCTTCTTCAGTCTATTATAATAATTTATAAATAATTCTTTAAATTTCCTGCTTGATAAATCCAATGTCTGGTTTTATCTTGGAGTCTGTTGCTTTTAGCCTTCCGCTTCCCCCCACCCCGTTCCCTTTCTTTTTGCAGCTCTGGGGATCAAACCCAGGGCCTCACGCATGCAAGGCTGTTGATCCACATCCCACATCCCTGTTGATCCACATCTACTGTTGATCCACATCTACTGTTGATCCACATCCCACATCCCTGCTTTTTTTTTAATTGACTGTGAGTAACATTTCCCTGTTTCTTGGCATGCTTAATAACTTTTAATTGTATTCTGAGCATTATAGATAATCTGTTGAGAGTCTCTGTCCTAATTGGCAGCCTAGTTACTGATGAATCACCTTGAATTTGTATAAGCTTAGTTGTAATTTTTTTTTTATTTTGGGTCACAGCTGGTGGTGCTCAGGGAGTACTTCCAGTTCTGTGCTCAGGGGATAATGATGTGCTTAGGACTGAACCCAGGCCTCCTGCATGCACACCATGGCCTCAGCTTATTGATCCAACTCTCAGGCCTGTACTTGTAAATCTTTAATGGTTGATGTGCAGAAACACTGAGGCAGTTGCCAAATCCCACCAGATTTATGGGAATTAACCTTCAAAGTGTTTCCATTTTTTCCCCCATGGGGAGGGCCACACCTGGCAAAATGCTCAGGGATTACTCTTGGCTGTACACTCAGAAATTACTGCTGACGTTGCTCAGGGAAGCATATGGGATACTGGGGATCAAAACCCGGGGTCCACCATGTGCAAGGCAAATGCCTTACCATTGTACTGTCTCTCCAGCCCTTCCTTTGAGTGTTTTACAGGATTGGATTTTAGGCTTTGTCAAAGTGAGACCTGAATACACCTGACTTGAGGGTGTGTAAAGTAACTGACATTTTAGCTCGATCTTCAGAGTTGAAAGAGGGTGTTAGGGACTCTCCTTTCTAACTGAGCTGAACCTCCAATATTCCTCCAGTATCTTCAAATATTGTTAAACTTATAAGATCTCTGTCCAACACCCATTGTAGCTACTCTCTGGTAAGCCTCTGTAGTCTTCCCCTGTGCACACAGAGCCCAGCTCAGCCTAGGGCATGGAGCATCCTGGGCCCTTTACCTGGGTAACTACCTTCCTTCCTTCCTTCCTTCCTTCCTTCCTTCCTTCCTTCCTTCCTTCCTTCCTTCCTTCCTTCCTTCCTTCCTTCCCTGTGCCCTGTCCTATTGCTATTCCCTGCTGGTACTGCTCTCAAACCATCTGTGCAATGCTGCCCTGTTGATTATACACCTGGGGGTTCTCCTTGGAGATGAGAGAGTTCTGGAGACATTGCTTTAGAGACAAAGAACAGTACCAAAAGGGGGTCCAGCTCCTCTTAATTTGTGATCATTGCACCTCTATGGGCCGGAGCGATAGCATAGCAGGTAGGGTGTTTGCCCTTGCACATGGTCGACCTAGGTTTGATTCCTCTGCCCCTCTCAGAGAGCCCGGCAAGCTACTGAGAGTATTCCGCCTGCATGGCAAAGCCTAGCAAGCTACCCATGGCGTATTCGATATTCCAAAAACAGTAACAAATCTCACAATGGAGATGTTACTGGTGCCCTCTCGAGAAAGTCGATGAACAACGGGAAGACAGTGCTACAGTGCTACAGTGCTCCTCTCTGATGAGCAGTTTGGCTTGGCTCAGGTCTGTTCCCCTTATTAGGAGGTTATGTTAATTGAATTACCTGCCACCCTTTGTTTCACCCATTCCATGGCTCATGGACTCCCTATCAATACTCACAAGTCCCTGTGCCTCTATTAAACTTTTCCTTTGTGCCACACTTCCCCTGCTTTATTTCCCAGCCTAGCATTGTCCCCTTTCTCCCCTCCCCCCTACACTCTCTAGTGGTTGCTCTCCCCTATATCTGTAGCACTGTAGCACTGTCCTCCTGTTGCTCATCAATTTGCTCGACTGGGCACCAGTAACGTCTCACAACAACTTATGAGACTTGTTGTTACTGTTTTTGGCATATCAAATGCACCATGGGGAGTTTGCCAGGCTCTGCCATGCAGGTGGGATACTCTCGGTAGCTTGCCAGGCTCTCTGAGAGGGATGAAGGACTCAAACCCCGGTCAGCCGTATGTAAGGTAAATAAACACCTTACCTGCTGTGCTATGGCTATGCCTGGGCAGGGTGAAGCCAGAGGAAACTCTGGTGGAGGTCCATAGCGGTTCCCTCTATCTAGTCTATGGAATTGGAAATAAAGACTGTTGATTATTGTCCGGTCATCTGTTTGAAACTCGTTCCCTGTCTATCAGCTGAGGAACACACATTTGTATGGCCACCAAATGCAGCAGGAACTCCCATTACCATGAAATGGTGCCTCTGACTCAGACACTGTCCCAATGACTCTAGCTACTTCAGCTTCCCCTAAGTCTAATATTGTCTTCCTTATCTCAGATACATCGGCTTGCTCTGCTTGGACTCCAACTCTGTGTAGCTCCACACTGTGCTGCAGTTAGAGAAATTGTCCCTAAACAAAACAAGTAGGGCGATTCTGTAATTTGTAATAAGCTCACTTTGCAATTTGTCACTTATCTAAATAAGTTGCATATTTGTTTGCTGTTATGCCCCCAAACACTGCTGCATGTATTTTGTTCAGTTGTATGGTTATTTACAGGAGGATAACTAGCCCAGTACTGAGTTCATCAGAAAGTAGAAATCTATTTCATCAAGAGATTTTATTTTTGGAAAAAAATTCAAAGGCCTTATCAGTTTCCCATGGGCCTCCTGCCATTTTGTGATTTCACCATGTGTGTCCTTGGAAGCGCTCTTTGTGCAATATTATATGTTCAAGGACTGCCTGGCCTAAGGTCACCTTAGAGCCAGGTGAAGATGGCTTTGTATATGATTTGAGCAGCTTTCCACCATCACTCTTACTGATTTCATGAAATCTTCCATTTTCCAGAGGATTTGCTGTTTCATTTTGAATTTGATTTATACTATGTTTTTTCATGGCATTGTTGGCTATTTACAACATTGCACATTCGCTGTGACATTTGTAAAGGATAATTATTAATAAAGATGAATTAATTGCACCAATGATAGGGATGCATAATTTCATATTACTTAGGCTGAGGGTAGGAGATGATCAGAGGTTTTCTGACTTCACATTTATAATTACACAGTGTATCTTTCCAAGAATTTTTATTATTTTCTACAATTTTGTATCAGTGGAAACTTGAGTGATGTATAGACAGGTAATTCCCATAACCATGTGCATGTGATGGGGAGGGGTGAGAGAATGCATGAGAAAAATAGGAGAAAAGTGGTCAGTAAACAGCCAGGTAGAGCACTGGCATTGAGACTGTGGGCAGTGGATATTGATTGCATGTTCCTCCTGGGTTGGAGGCACCGGATCAGGCAGAGCAGAGGATGGGTGTTCCAACCATTCAGCTAGCCAGAATGATATCTCAGTGAGAACCTGACCTGTGTCCCCATGGAATCCTCCGGGAAACTTCTAATTCCAGGCTCCCCAAGGGATTCTTCTTCAGCTTTTGGTGCCTGGTATCAGACTTGGGCTGGGAGATAGGCCAATAGCAGCCTTCCACCTGGGAAAAGCTGAGAACTTGCAGTGTTCTGCTGTAAAAGCCCCAGGGGGGACAGCTTTGAGTATTCCTGACACCTTTGAGATGTATTCAGTGTTGGACACAGCAGAGGGGCTAGAATTGTTGCCTGGGGGTGAGAGGTGTGTATTTCTCGGAAATATAGATGTAAGGTCTGAGGGCCTGACTAACTGGGGCTCTGGAAAGTGAGAGGAAAGCAGGCTTAGCTTTCCCTGTTCTCTGTCATTTATCTAGAGGTCATTTAACCAGGAGACTAGCGGTGGCTATCAGGGAGACAAACAAGTCATCTCAAAGTCTTTCTAGTGTTTTTGCTCACATTTGAAGACTTCCTTTGGTGTCATCCTTGTTCCTTGGCATTGTTCTCAAAGCATGCTTCTCTTGATGGAACCTGGACCACAAATCCTAAATCTAGGGTTAGAGTTGGTCACACTAGAGCTAAGTTGAGGTGGTGTCACTCACATGACACAGTGTGGGTCTGTGGGCAAGAAGGAAATGAAGGCTGAGAGGCCAACATCAAATCAAAAGTCAGGTTGGGCAAGAGGAGAACATAGTAGATGTAGATGAGGCTTCTTGAGCAGACGAGGGAAGAGATGGTACACATCTGTGTGCCTCAGGAAAGGAGCCTTCTGAGGTCTCCTTTTCTCTAGAGATTGATAGGAACATTGAATTAGTATGTTTGTTTTGATACCTACATGGAGTAATGATGCTTTACTTTTCAGTTTCAGGGAGAAACTGGAAGAACTTTGCCCTCGTTCCTCTTTTAAGAGATACGAGTGCCCGAGAAAGACAACCTGCTCAGCCGGAGGAAGTTCAGATGAGGCACTTTGCAGGGTCCCTCAAGCCAGAAGATGCTGAGCTCTTCAAGGACCCTGCTACCTTAGGGGAGAAGTGAAGGACACCGCCTCATTTAGGGGGCTCTCAGCTCTATTGGGTCTTATGATATACCATGTTCCTAGGGTCTAGTGCTGGGAAGCCCAGTGCCCTCCGCTGCCAGCACTCCCCTAGATTATAGTGGGCAGATGTATGTGTGTGATCGGGGGAGCCTCATTTGGTGAATGAGGAGAGGGGTTCACCCAGTCACACTGTCCCCAGGGCAATTTCCTCCGAGAAAATGACCTTGCTTTTATGTTCCTACTCACTTTATCAAATACTGTGTGATATCTCTAGTAGGACATAGACATGATATTGTTGCATTTTCTTTGGTTTTGTATTACTGGCAGTAAAGGCAAATGACAGTAAGAGAACACTTTTAAAAACAAAACACTTCTTTTGGCATAAATTGCTGAAACCCTTTTAGCTTTGTTAACCTGTCCAGGGTGGTCTGGAGCAGGAGGTGTCATTTGTTCTTCATCAAATGGGGTGGTGGACTTCAATCCCAACTCTTCCAGAACCCGGTTTTACCAGAATGACTGCATCATTTAGTATGATACATCAAAGCTACAAAAATATTATCCTCCATTATTGTTCCAATTAAAGCATAGAAGCATGTCCCTAAGACATATGGCAAGAATTTTTAAAATCATCTTTCATTTGTAATGAAGACATAATCCTGTAGTGACTCGTAGTTCTGCTCCCCTGCAGTATTCCTGCTTTCATGTTCCATCTGTCATGTCATTCATCAAATAAATAAATAAATAATATTAAATGTGAACTCTATGCTAATCAGTGTGCTGTCATAGCTATTTAGTTCTGTGTGATCTGTGAGTATGTACATGCATATGAATGCACATGAGTGTGTGTATGTGTGTGTGTGTGTGTGCACTAAGAGCCTCTGGTCACCCTTTATCATGGTAAGGGTATTCCTTTGTATATTTATATACCTATCATACTCAGAAAACTATGGGCCATGATCCAAATTTGACCTGGTACCTGTTTTTGTAAACATCTCTTTATTGGACCTCAACATGGCCATTCATTGTGCTGTTGTCCAGGGATGCCTTTATATTGTAGTGTGGAGTTGAGTGGCTACAACAGAGACCAAGTAGTCGGAATAGCCTCAAATATGTACTAGTTGGCCCTTTACAAAAGTTTTCTATTCTCTGCATTATGACAGAGCTCAAGAACAATGATCAGAAGAGGGCTCAATTCCCAAGTTAAGCCAGTTTGTGTTAATGTTAATGTCTGTGGAGTGTAGAATGAGATGCTGAGTCATGGAACTATTGGGTCTTTGTTATCAAGGCCAGGGATTTGGTCCTTTTATGAGACAGTCCCAGTAGAAGAGCCCAAGGGCTGGTTGACCAGATGGCTAAATGTGAAGTAAGCCATGGTCAGACCACAGCAAGTGGATATAGAGGAGAAATACTACCAGTAGGAAATATTGAGTATTTATCTAAAGTTCTTGATGTGTGTTATGCTATAAGCTTCCTAACAGCCTATGAAAAGCTATTATTAACTCTATAGATAAGATAACTGAGTCTAGGACAATGGCACACAGCCAATAAAAGTATTGCTTGGGTCTCACCTCAGTCTGACTCCAAAGGCCCAAACTTCACATTGGAGCCAGGTTGCATGGCAGAATAAAATTTGGGAGCAGGGTAACCCATTCCTGGGCCAGAAAGAGTCCTGAATTCAAGGCTTCTTGCTTTCCTTGGAGATCTTCCTCAGGAAGTGTGGTCTGAGATAGATCTCCTCAAACTGCCCACTTGCTACCACTTTTATTTTTAAATTTTTAATTGAGTCACAGTGATATATAGTTATAAAGTTGCTTATGATTATACCATGTTCCAAACTCTTCTCTTCACTAGTGTACATGTCCTATCACCAATGTCCCCAGTATCCCTTCTAGGCCCCCTGACCACCCCCCCCCGCCCCTGCCCTCTCCAGCCTGCCTCTGTAGCAGACTCTCTCTCTCTCTCTCTCTCTCTCTCTCTCTCTTTCCTTTTGGAATGGTTTGCATTACAGGTACTGAGAGGTTATTATGTTTGTCCCTTTACCTCCTTTCACCATTCATTTCTTGTCCAGAGTGATCATTTCCAACTATCATTTCATAGTGGTTCCTTATCTATCCTAACTGCCCCCTACCCCCACCCCACTGCAGCAAGTTTCCAACTATGGACCAGCCCTCCTGGCTCTTGTTTCTTATTGTCCTTGCTTTCTATTGTCCTATACAGTCACCACCTCTTTTCTTTTCTTTTCTTTTTTTTTTTTATTAATTTTTATTAGTGAAACACCATGAGGTACAGTTGTAGATTTGCAAATTTTTGTGCTTGGGTTTTGATTATACACTGATCAAGTACCCATCCCTCCACCAGTGCCCATTTTCCACCACCATGGATCCCCGTATCCCTCCCACACCCATCCCCCCATCCCACCCTGCCTCTGTGGCAGGGTATTCCCTTTTGGTCTCTCTCTCCTTTTGGGTGTTGTGGTCTGCAAAAGAGGCATTGAGTGGCAATCATGTTCAGTCCATAGTCTACTTTCTTTTTTTTTTATTATTAGTGAAGCACCATGGGGTAGAGTTGTAGATTTACAAATCTTTGTGCTTGGGTTTCGGTCATACAATGATCAAATACCCATCCCTCCACCAGTGCCCATTTTCCACCACCATGGATAATATCCCCCCCACCCCACCCCCACCCTGCCTCTGTGGCAGGGTATTCCCTTTTGTTCTCTCTCTCCTTTTGGGTGTTGTGGTCAGCAAAAGAGGCATTGAGTGGCAAACATGTTCAGTTCATAGTCTACTTTCAACATGCATCTCCCCTCCTGGGAGGATCCTCCAAACACCCTTTATTTGGTGCTCCCTTCTCTATCTGAACTGCTCTTTCCCCTAGAATACCCGGCTGGCCTCTAAGCTATGGAGTAATCCTCCTGGTGTTGATCTCAGCTATTCTTGGGTATTAATCTCCTATTTTGTTATTTTATGTCCCCCAGATGAATGAAATCGTTTATGTCTATCCCCCTCATTCTGACTCATTTCGCTTAGCATGATACTTTCCATGTGGTACCATTTGTATGTAAAATTCATGACTTCATCTTTTCTAACAGCTACATAGTACGCCATTGTGTAAATGTACCAAAGTTTCTTTAACCAGTCATCTGTTCTTGCGCACTCAGGTTTTTTCCAGATTCTGGCTATTGTAAAGAGTGCTGCAATGAACAAACAAATGCAGATGTCACTTTGACTATACATTTTTGCCTCTCTGGGATATATTCCCAGGAGTGGTATTGCTGGGTCAAATGGGAGCTCAATTTCTAATTTCTTAAGAATGGTCCATACTGTTTTCCAAAAGGGCTGAACCAGTCGGCATTCCCACCAACAGTGAAGGAGTATCCCTTTCTCGCCACATCCGCGCCAGCATCGATTGCTTTTGTTCTTTTGGATGTGGGCCAGTCTCTGAGGTGTGAGATGATATCTCATTGTGGTTTTGATCTGCATCTCCCTGATGATTAATGATGTAGAGCATTTTCTCATGTGCTTTTTTTGCCATTCGGATTTCTTCTTTGAGAAAGTTTCTGTTCATTTCATTGACCCATTTTTTGATGGGGTTGGATGTTTTCTTCTTGTGAAGTTCAACCAGTATTTTGTATATCCTTGATAACAACCCCTTGTTAGATGTGTATTCGGTGAATATCCTTTCCAATTCTGTAGACTGTCTTTGTATTTTGGTCACTGTTTCTTTGGAGGTGCAGAAGCTTCTTAGTTTAAGATAGTTCCATTTATCTATCTCTGTTTTCACTTGCTCGGCCAGTGGTGTGACATCTTTGAAGATATCCTTAGCTTCAACATCATGGAGGGTTTTGCCAACTTTGTCTTCAATGTACCTTATGGTTTCCGGTCTGATGTTGAGGTCTTTAATCCATTTTGATCTTACTTTTGTACATGGAGTTAGGCAGAGTTCTGAGCCCATTTTTTGCATGTAGCCATCCAGTTTTGCCAGCACCATTTGTTAAAGAGTTCCTTACTCCACTTCACATTTCTTGCACCTTTATCAAAGATTAGATGATCATATGATTGAGGGGAGATGTCAGTGTATTCAATCCTGTTCCATTGGTCTGCAACTCTGCCTTTGTTCCAATACCATGCTGTTTTAATTATTACTGCTTTGTAGTAGAGTTTGAAGTTAGGGAGGTTGATTCCTCCCATTTTCTTTTTCCCAAGAATTGCTTTAGTTATTCGTGGGGGCTTATTGTTCCATATGAATTTCAGGAGTGTTTGCTCCATTTCTTTGAAGAATGTCATGGGTATCCTTATAGGGATTGCATTGAATTTGTACAATGCTTTGGGAAGTATTGCCATTTTGACAATGTTAACTCTCCCGACCCATGAGCAGGGGATATCTTTCCATTTCCTCATGTCCTCTTTTATTTCCTGAAGTAGTTTTCTTTGTACAGGTCCTTTACTTCCTTAGTTAAGCTGATTCCTAGGTACTTGATTTTCTGGGGCACAATTGTGAACGGGATTGTTTTTTTCATGTAGCTTTCTTCTCTCTTACTGTTTGCGTATAGGAAAGCCATGGACTTTTGGGTATTGATTTTATAGCCAGTAACTTTACTATACAAGTCTATTGTTTCTAGGAGTTTCTTGGTGGAGGTTATAGGGTCCTCTAAGTATAGTATCATATCATCTGCAAATAGTGAGAGCTTGATTTCTCCCTTTCCTACCTGAATGCCCTTAATATCTTTTTCTTGTCTAATTGCTATTGCAAGTACTTCCAGTACTATATTAAACAGCAATGGAGAGAGTGGGCATCCTTGTCTCATCCCTGATCTTAGAGGGAAGGCTCTCAGTTTTTCCCCATTGAGGATGATACTGGCTGTAGGCTTGTGGTAGATGGCTTTAACTATGTTGAGGAAAGTCCCCTCTATACCCATTTTGGCTAGAGTTTTCATCATAAAGGAGTGCTGGATATTGTCAAATGTTTTCTCTGCATCTATTGGTATGATCATATGGTT